CGAAAGTATGGGGTACCTGCTGAAGATCGAACTCACTTTTCAGTCATAATTGCTCTAGTGAGACAAGCTTGCTAACCATTACACCACCCCAAGGTGCTCCTTCTGTTTCCTTGTAGAGATTTTCCAAGCGTAGCTAAGATGTGGCACAAAGCCGAAAGTATGGGGCATCCAGTGAGGATCGAACTCGCTTTTCAGTAGTAACTGAGCTAGCAAGACAAGATTGCTAACTATTACACCACCCCAAGGTGCCCCTTCTCTTTCCTTGTATTGATTTTCTAAGCATTGCTTAGATGTGGCACAAAGCCAAAACTATGGGGCACCCAATGAGGATCGAACTCACTATTAAGTCGTAACAGTTTTTGCGAGACAAGCTTGCTAACCATTACACCACGCCGAGGTGCCCCTTTCTCTTTCCTTGTAAAGCAAGCCAGCTTATTTTACCTCATTTTATAGGAGAGTGCCTAATACACCAGTTAGGTTGGTCCATTTTGCTAGAATGGACCTGCCCAATACATTTGCATTAGTGGTCTTTATTCACCCTGACTCAAGTCAGTCTGAGCTTTAGCTACACTTGGCTACTTGTGTGTTAGACCACTGGCAAGCTAACCAATATTCTACAATATACAGCTAATTATAAAATATACTTAACAAAATTCTCAAGACAAAAGTGAATGTATAGAGTTTAAATATTCAAGTTATAAGTGAGTTAAACACAAACATCTTACTATTCACACTATTTACATTGTTCAGATTATTGTCCTCATCTTCATTGCCATATTCACAGCGTTTCGACTGTTGAATATGGCAATAAAGATGAAAACAACAGTCCAAATAATGTAAATAGTTACAATACCTCATCTCAGAAATAAAGACGGAAACATTTTACTATTCTTGGTATTTTTTACAGTGATGTTCACTCTGTACAAGGCCCAAGAGCCCCTTGAGTAGAGTGCTACAGAGTAAGAGGCACAGTTTATAAGGATATGTGAAAAAGGTAATCGGTAACCCAAAACTTGAACAGGTTAAAATTGTAGAGATCAGGGAAGCATCTTCTTGGGAGTTAATTTCATAAAGCAGTTGTTTGTGGGAAGAAGCTGCTTGAGTGGAACTTACATCACACCAATGGAATACGAAGGGAATGAGGGTGGATCACTACAATGGCCACAGCAAGGTGGATGATAGCCATGATAGTTAGAAATGGTGGAACTAAGTAATGTAGTTCGTTTTAACACTTTCCATGGAAATTGTAATAGAGCTTGTGATGTTTTGTCTGTGGGAAAGGGGATGTAGGTTAGAAAATAATTCATCACCCACAAAGATGTGGAGACGCTTTTGAACTCTATCAACACCAGCAATTAAGAGGTGGTTCCATGCTCCTCAAAACCTCCTTATTGTTAGATGTAGTTTATTGTCTTACCCAGGACGCAGATGTAGTTTTATTGTCCTACCCAGGATGGAGAAATATTTTGTAAAAGATTAAAACTAAATAGTGTTGAACAAGAAAACTTTATTAGAAAAAACAGTAAAAGAGTTTTGAACAGTTACGTAATAACAATCTCCCTTCATGTTAGTGAATGCTGGACAATTTCCTCACAGAGGAAGAGGAAATTTAAGGTAACAGAGAGGTGGCTCTACAGAAGGATGCGAAGAATACCATGGACAGAATATGTGAGCAACAGGGAAGTTATAAGAAAAATGTAAACAAAAAGGATATTTGTACTTAGAGTTAGAAAGAGATAGTAGACATCTATTTTTAGACATAATGAGGGAAGAGGGCTTGGAGAATTCGATACTCATAGGAAATATTGAAGCCAAGAGGGAAACAGTAAGTAATCTACCTAAGACAATTGTGTGAATGGATGACAGAATAGGGAAAGGGATGAATAATAATAATTTACATCTACAAAGGATGGGAAGTTGTGGAGAGCCATGATTGTTAACATCCTAAGAAGAAGAAGAAACATAAAAAAGAAGAATTAAGGTTAGAGTAATGGTAAAGTGTTCTTTTATGTACCATGTCCCTTCCGGATGTTGGTGATCATGACTTTCTGTCCACTTGCAGCTCTTAAGAAATTTTGTCTTTATCCTAATCTCTGTTCTGCCAACCATTTATACAATCTCATTAGATAGGTCATGTTTGGGTAATTCAGTTTGCCCATCATTTGCGATGACTGAAATGGATTAAAGTACTTGCTTTCATCCAGTCCTTCAGTCTACCAACTGAGCTGTTGCTAGTAACCTCTTATTCTCTTGGTCTCATTAGTACACACATACGCTGTCATGCCAACAGTGAAATCTCCCGTCTTCCTCCCAGACTCACTATTTATGCCTGCATCGAGGGCAACTAAAATTTGCATACAAGACTTACTTCTTGTTTGCCCAAGACTTCCGATTTTATAAATTCAAGCTGGTTTTAATTCTTAGTCTTTTTTATTTTTTTTTCATTTGTACATCTACTCGTGATATAGGAATTTCGGAATAATCCATTTCTCTTTTAATGCTGGTCCCAATCTTTCAACAGGGCCTGACATGCTAAGCAAATTCATTTTTCAGGAGGTAAGTCTTCTCATTCCTCACCTGTTATCCCTGTTGCCTTCAATATGTCCTGTGAATATTAAATTTTTCAAGCTTTCTTTTCTCATTATATGACTTAGAGATTTCAACTATTTCTTTCTGAAGTTAAGTGTTCTTTTTGTTTTCATTTTCTCTAATACTTCGTCATTGTTCCCATGTTCAGTCTATGGTATTCTCATCATCCTTCTCTGAGGTATCCACTGCCCAGTTATTCACTACCATATAGGAGGGCTGATATTTTGTAAAAGTTCAGTACTCTTTTCTTTGTTTCTAATGAAATATTCCTGTTTCTTAATACTTTGCTTAGCTTTTGGAAGGCACCTTTTGCTAGCCTAATGAACTTTCAGATTTTAGTGAAAACACTTCCCATATATTTAAATTGTTTTACTTGTTTGATTTTGATATCTCCAATTTGTAATTTGTATGCTCAGCTCTTTCATTTACCAAAAACTATGCATTCTATCTTGCAATTGATGTTTGATGCTTTCTTCTCACTTTCATTTACTACCAGTTGGTTCTCTGTGCCATGCCAGAAAGTTTTTCTTGCCTGAGTACATCTTTCAAATCTCTAAATCAACCATTCATCCTTGCATGGAATATTGCTGCCATATATGGTCTGGAGCCCCCGCTGTTCATCTTAAGGTCCTTGACAAAATCCAGAGATGGATATGCAATGCAATTGTCCCTGATCTGGCATCTCGTGTGCCGTCACTTCCCTTTGTCTTTTCTACAAATACTTTTACAGTAACTGCTTCAACAAGCTACTTTTACTAGTTCTCAAACTGCATAAATTTAAACGTGCTACTAGGTTGGCATCTCAGTCCCATCCTTTCACTGTCAAAATGGTTAAATGTAGCTGTTTCTTCTACTCCAATAGCTTCAAGTCTTTCACTTCCTGTCTGTGGAACTCCCTTCTTCTTACATGCTTCCCTGATAGCTATAATCTCCAACTATTCAAATGCAATGTCAATCGACATCTTCAGATGCCTTGATCTATTCCCCAGCCTTCTCTTCATCCTTTCCTCTATCACGCTTCTTTACTCTGTAACCCCTTGCATGTTAGTGGCACTCCCACCTTGCTTGGGGTGAAAAGCTTTTTAAAAAAAAAAAAATACCTTCTGTGGGAGTTCTTGTAGTCTCATTTCTGTGTCCGCTATCAACACTGTAACACATATTACATGTAAATGTAAAACAGATACTTATAACCCATTGAACATGTCATACAGAGTAGAATTGGAAATAGGGGTTTATGAAAAATAGATCCAAGTCATTTAGTTATGTGCCATGCATGATACATGCTTAGATGATTATGTATCTTTCAATACATGACTGATGAGGCAGATTTTTTTCCCTGCAGTATGTTGCCATTTCTTTCTGGGATAGACCAGTTGCCATCCAAGGCTATAGAACTCAGTCTGTCCTGCTATTTACCCATAGCTGGGGGGGGGAGAAGAGGATTCATACCTTTCCCAAGGGTATTAGCATGTAAGTGAATGTAATGGAGTTGACTGGAATTTGAATTAAGCTCTCCAATTCCTCGATCCAAGCTGCTATCCACTACTCCACCATGCCTCCTTATTCTATCGAAGTAGAAGTGTTAAATGTATATCTGTGTTGTTTTTATTTTTTTTTAACAATGCTATTCACCCTGTCCAAGGCTTGAGGATCACTAAAGGTAGAAGGTTAGAGAATTAAGAGACACAGCTTATATGGATATGTTTGGAAGTTTGGAGAGAAATTGAAGTGTATTTATTCAGATGACAGAGCTTTGTGGTATCTATTTATACTTGCTTCCAAAGAGGAAGATATTTAATCTGACTCTTACATATGTAGTAAGTAACAAATCATGGTCTAGCATTTTTCACCAATTTACACATAGTCCCCAAATAATGCTATATAAGAATTATGATAACCTGCACTGACAACCAACAGGAGATAATTAATTATATGTATACAAAGGAATGTATATTGGTAGAGAGACAGCATGGTAATGTATATGTTGTTACTTTACATTCATGCTGAGGATTCCTAGCCTTATCTTGAATTATTCTGCACAACAACCATTTGATAGCCAAATCCTGTAAATAAGTTTTTCTTTGTACATCTGGTATCTTTTAAAAAATAAAAATCAATACCTCTGCACATTTTTTGATAAGGTTTTATGATTTATTTGTTTTTTTATAGCTTATCAACCTTTTGCAGATTATTTAAAGCTAGAAAATAATTTTATATTTTAAGAATTTTGCAGGGGATAATAATGATTTTTACTAATTAATCCATAGCTGGAGGGTAGAAGAAGTGGATTCATACCTTTTTCAAGGTTATTTGTGCATAAGTGAATATAATGAATCCAACTAGAATTGGAACTCAGCACCCCAATTTCCAACTCCAAACTATTATGTATTACACCATCCACACAATCCAAGCTTACAGCAACTGGTATTTCCAAGCAGTCACCCATCTAGGTACTGATCAGGCTCAACATAGTTTAACTTGTTGATCATATGAGATTTGGTGTTTCAATGTGATATGGCCATAAGCACTTTTTGACAAGGCTTTATATGTTTCAATCAAAACATTTTTATAAATGATTGTTTTTTGACCATCAAAAACAAAGGAAAAGAAATTTAAGATTTTTTTAAGACATTCATAAATGACATTACAGCAGAAGGTATTGAATTTATGCCAGAACTGACTTGATGTGAATAGATTAGAATCATATCACAATTCAGGTATTTGCCTGTATTTAGACTAACATCATTGTTTCCAGCATTCATGGAAAGCTCTGAGACTCACTGGATAAATATAATAATGAAAATAAGAATGTTAATGTTGCTTCTTCAAATACTTTATTAAATAATGGTATTACTTCACTTTTGGACATTAGACCTCATATGATTTGGTCAGAATTAAAGCAATTGAAATTTCTTTAGTCCAATAGTAAATCAGTGTCAATAAAAAATATTTGGTATTAGTCAAATGAATCCTGAAAGTTCTGTAACTCTCAGAGAAATCATAAAATGAAAAGAGTTTCAATAGAAAGAAGCATACAAGCACAAGAATGACCCACCCACACAAAACAAGTGAATTAAATGATTTAAAGAGTGAGAGATAGAGAAAATGAAACCACAAAAAATACAGCCAAAGGCTGCAAAGTGTTTGGCTTCTTGTAAAACAACTGAAAAACTAATTATATTTGTTGATACGTTTTATGACTTCTTGACCCTGGGAACTAAGATATCTTCATCAAAGAACTAAAATACAGTTAACTGATAATAGATTGGCCACTTATTGAAAGGCTTATTTACAGTAGACTGTGAATGTTTTCAGTTTTTTTCTGAATCACACTGAGGTAACAATTCCAGATCTCTACCTCCTTCTCTCTCTATCCTTTATGCAAAGTAGCTTTACTTTATTAAATTGCATTCAGAACCAATGGCAGAGTTACTGGAGAAACCAAGAGAATAGTTGCTTCCTCTGAGCACATTCTTCAAGAGTGATGTCTTTTCATTAGTTTTTGATTTTTTGATTTATTTCAAAATCAAATTTCATTCTTTCTTATTGGTATTTTTTACTTTATTATATAGCATTTGAAGAAGATTCTGAATTCATTATTTTATTTTATAAACTCACAAAAGTAAAAAAATGCCCCAAACTTCACATTAATTTTATTACAACCATTTTTTTATCACAATTATGGACTTAGTTTATCACTGTATCTTGTTTTTGTTTTGATCTTAAATACAAAACCAAGAATTTAAAATTATTTAGTATGCATCCTGGTGCCTGTAGATGCTCCTTAGTAACTGCAGAACCTAACTATACACCTTGTAGAGAAGATTCAAAAGAAGACCTTTTTACAGATGCTTCTATGATTGAAAAATTGAAAGACCTTTTCAGAGATGCTTCTATGATGGAAAATTTTCAGCAACAGATCAACCAATTATATCTATGTCTTGTGGTGCTGTCAGCTTTAAAATGTGAGCAAGGATAATAAAATATTGCCAAGTCTATCAAATATAGACAAGGAATTATATTGAATTTCCAAGTAGAACCTACATATTCGAATATAGAAATGAACTTTAAGAAAAGTGAAATCAATAAAAGTAGTTAATGAAATAGACAATAAAGCATGTCTAGAAAATGCATTATTGTATATTGCTGGTGTTCGTATTTCAGTTATACTTGGCTTGCAGTTGTAAATGAATTTGGGCTATTTCTGTTACCATGACAACCAAAGTTCATTATATATATATTAGGACATGTTGTTGAAATTTTACTCATTGTACAAGGGATACTACTCGCCAAGAAAAAAAAAATCAGGTTGTAGTCACTCATTGTTATTTTTCAACTATTCTGACTCATTCTGACATGTGGTATAATTCTAGATCAGTGTTTCTCAATCTTTTTAAGCAATAGCACACCTAGGAGCAAATGAAATATCACGGTACATGTAGCAAAACTTTTAGAGGGTATATATTTAAATGTTATAAAATACAACCATAGGTTTTTTTTAATATACACACAGATAAGAACAAAGTATTTAAAATAACATAATCAAAGAATAGTGAAAAGAATTATTTGAAAAATGTTTAATACTTATTCATTTATTCAAATACTAACACTGTACCTTACTACTTACACACACACGCACATATATATGTATGTCATGACAATTTTGGCAGTTGAAATAGACAAAATTGTGTGTATTAAATCATGTCTGGTGATTTGGGTGATGGCTGATAAAAAAGAAAACAGTTTCGCATTCTTGCAGGGTAAACTACTGTTAAAACTACTGTAGCTGCCAATGTGCAGTACATGCCTTCTTTCTTCTACAAGCTTGAAGAAAATGTGGGTGTTGATGTTTATATAAGTATACAAAAAATATGAAAACAAACATAAATATAATTACATATGTGGACATTTTTGCGTTGCATAATAAAATCTTACACCTCCATATAAATTATAAATATTTTACCAAGTTGTTGAAAGTTGAAATTAGTAATTTCTCAATAATATTAAGGCTTACTGCCATATCCTGTTGTGACATTGGTTCTCATAGAACCATCAATGTTAAACAACATCAAGCTTGGTCAAAAGCTAAATGAGTAACTGGGAATAATATGTGCTGTAAGCTTGGATGTGCAGGTGGTGTAATAGATAATGGCTCAGAATTAGAAATTGAAGAGCAGAGTTCCAATTCCAGTTGTGTTCCTTATATTCACTTATGCACAAATATCTTTGTGAAAGGGATGAATCTACCTATCCACTCCCCCAGCTATGGGTTAATTAGTAGGACTTGTATCAGTGAATCATTATTATTCCCCCAAAATTCTTAAAATCTAAAAATACTTTCTGATTTTAAATAACCTGCAAAAGATTGATAGACTGTAAAAAAACAAATCAAACATTATTAAATTTGTGATACTCATCAGCAGAAATTCATTCAACAGAAAAAACTGCCAAAAAATTTCTTTACACCTCAGGACTAATCTCGTACTTAATGATATTCTATGATGTTCATTATCACAATTCTTTTTTTTTTTTTAAACAATAATTAATTAACAGAAGTTCATTTAAAACTTTCTCCCAAAAGAATTAACTTTCAGTTCAAAACAGTTATCAGCTATCTGGAATCATGTGATGCTATTGTTAAGTCCATATTCCATCAAATTAAGCATACCTTTACCTGAATATAGGTGAAGTACTCTTCTTATAGTTTTATCAATAACAAAATTGGAAAAAAATAAACTAAAAGACAGATCTGATCACACAATAAAGATGATTACCATATGCTAGGGTTGAAGATCAAGACAATTGTCCTCCAAGCCTGCTATAAATGAGAAAATCTGCCCTCCTGCACACAGTCATTACCAGGAAGTCCAACATAGCAGACTGCTGAATGTAAGCATAAAGGAAAATAAAGAAAGAGAAGCGGCAGACGGTAGACAATCATCCTGAAATCAATTTCTTAGACAAGACAGAGTTTTATTGATTAGTCATAGAAAATTGGAAATTTTGCTAAAGTTTCATCTGCTTATGCAATAGTGAAGTGATGCTGGAGAATTTCAGATTAAAATAAAATAAAAATTATCCCAAAACCAGTTCTTATAAAAATTTATATCTATATATGGATGTGGATGAGTGTTTGTGCGTATGTATGTGAAAAAACTTGTAAATCATCAATAGGCTTGTATCTTAATGATGATAAAACATTTATCTTACACAGAAAATACTTATTTTTAACATAACATTCTTGACAATGCACTTACCATACATAACCATATATAAACTAACATTATGCATCGTGTGACCCCTTTTTTTTGCATAAATTTTAACTTCACCATAAAAAATTGCCTGTGTACAGTGCAACTTGTCATCATGCATAAAAAATTACTTGTGTATAATGCAACCTATTATATGCATAAAATATGATTAGAAAAACTTGCATGATACTCAAGTACATACAGTAAGTTTTCTTGAGTTTGTAAGCTGGTGGATGAATTAAACTACTGTTTAAAATAAATCTCCCCAAATATGAGTATTTACTAAAAATCATGTTTAAGGTAATAAAAATTATGTCAGATTAAAAAAAATAAAATCTGTTAATTCTTTATAAATTGCTTTGTTTATGTTTCAGATATAAACCAGACAAATGATGACTTTCTAGAAAATCTGAACAATTAAAATGTACTTTAAAGGAAAATAGAATCTTGCTAGATTGTCAAGCTCTTTGTAGCCAAGCGGGCTAAGCACATTGGCTTAAACAGCAGTTTCTCCTGCAAAGAGAGACACAGGTTCAAATTCTAGTCAATACACTTAAGTTTTCTTGAGGGTAGCAGGCTAGTAGATGAAATAAATACTGTTTAAAATAAATGGAGTGTTTACTCAAATATCAATACCCACTAAAAATAATGTTTAAAGTAATAAAAAGACATGCATATCTATATGTGCATGTGGATTGGTGTGTGCTTGTATGTCCATGTAGGTACAGCAATAAATTTGTAGCTTAATAAAGATGAAGCATTTAATTTACATAATAAATACTTATCTTTTAACATAATCATATTTTTGTCAATGCACTTAATCTCCATTCAGATTGAAAATTAGCCAATTGAAATTTACAGACATCTATATCTATACATGGGTGTGGATACATAGGTGTTTCTATGTATATGAATATCCATGCAGGTACATCAATAAGTTTGTAGCTTTATGATACAAAAGCAGTTTATTTCACACAAGAAATACATATTTTTTAACATGATAACATTCCTAGTCAATACACTATCTGTTATTAGATAATAATAATGTGCTGATGCTTATGTACATAAGGATATTTCTTTGAATTATTTCACCCCAAGAAAGGCAATAAAGCCACTATATACAAGGGTTACTAAGTGTGAAAGAATATGAGAAAAAGAAAAATATTATTAAAGAGAAAGAACAATAAAAGAATAGGAATTAAGAAGACAGAAGATAATGATTGGCATTGCATTTAAATTTTTAAAGATTTTTTTCATTGACTGGAAAGCAAGA